GCAGCTCCTATTTCCGCCTGCTTCATCACACTCCAGCATTTCCTCAGGGAGATGAAGCAAATATTAGACTTCCCTGCTTAGACCTCAGCGAAGACCCTTTGTTTCCCCAGGAGAGAGTTTATTCTTGCACCAGAGGATGATAAAGCAAATAAAACAGTCGGATTCTATTGACTTATTATTTTCTCACACCTTTTTTGGCAAGGGGGTTCAAGTTTGGAGATGTCAGACTTCAAGAATATAGTATAGTATGAATATATTTCATGGAAATACATTTCTTTCATAGTTAATAACATATTCAGACTCATCGTGTTTCATCAAGGACCAGGTCAAGGGGCAGTAGTCTCAGTAGAGACCCCCACACTTCCCTCTAATCGGACGCCTCCTCCAGCTCTGGTGGGGAAACCCAGGCATGTTCAGGAAAGCTGAGAAATCTGTTCTCTTCAGGGTGTCTTTCAACTTCCCCTGGGCTTCCACCCAGTTGGACATGCAGCCACCCTGCGAAGGAGGATAATTTCTGGGATCTCGTTGTCTTTGGTCATTATCCAGATTTCATGTCCATAGGTGAGGGTAGGAATGTAGACCTACCAGTAAATAAGAGCTTTGCCCTTTGGCTCAGCTCTCTCTTCACCACAAGTCACACGATCTGTCAATCTTTTCTCACCTCGCTCATTAACAGGAACCCAAGATGCTTGAACTCCTTCGCGTGAAGCAGAGACATGCAGGACAAGCTACCATTTTCTGGTCGAGAATCATGGCCTTGGACTTGGTGGATCTGATCTTCATCCTATTTGCTGATTGTGAGCTGCCCTGGTGTTTCATGATCTTGGAGCTGATGTTTGATTGACTTACTTTATAATCTCAAAGTGAAGAAATTCACTCGTTAAAATCAGCTCAAATAGTCAAAAGAGAAGAAGTAGGTGGCAAAGGAAGAAAAAGGTGCATGGGATATATATACAGAATATACAATGCGTCCACATATGAGAGTTTTTTTTTGTTACATGGTTATTGAACAGGGTGTGTACATGGGTATTTATATATATATGGATATTTATACAGCAGATTTTTATCGTCCTGTCCTTTTTTCTCTTTTTTTTTTTTTTAAATAAGATTTTTTTTTTTGTTAAAAGATGAAGACGAAATTCTCCTAAACTAAAGTCCAAGTTACAAATTGAAGAAAACAAGTCATAAAGCATGATCCTGCCACCGCCGTGCAACATTGGGATGAGCAGTGCTGTGTTTTTACCAAATATGCCTTTTATTCATAAAAAATTTCCATCTTCTTTTTCATCGTACCAGTACACACTTGTTTATTCATGTTTATTCATAAACTCATGCTGTGTTTCTAAAAAGAATAAGACAGGCTTGAATAGTTTGCACTGTATGAACAGGCCTCCATTTTCCCACCCATCCTCGGAGCCTTGACACATGAAGAAGTAGTAGTGAAATGAACTTACAGGAGCTCTTTAACCCTGCTGCCGGCATCTCCACAGCCTCCCTGACCAGACTCATTAGAACGCAGTTGCACATAATTAATCAGTATAATGACTAAGAGCTCAAAACATTTATACCCTGCAAGTGCGTAGCATGACTAGATTAATGAATCGAAAGTTGACCTTCCTCTCACCTCCACCCTTATCTTGCAACACCTTTTTTTTTGCAATACATTTAGGCAATATATAAAAAACACCTGGAACTGGAAATCTTTGAAAGGCAAGATCACACAAAGGAGCATTAGATGAACATGTCAAATACTGTTTTGTTTTTGTTCTTTCCCTCCCAACATCCACAGTCATTAGAGGGAGAGCAGACTTGTGTAACCACTGAATCTTTGTTTATTTGTGCATTTTAAAACTAAATTGCAGGTCCGGATTTGAACACTTTATATTTATATGACAAACTCCCAGAGTCTTAGGGTTCTCCAGACTTTCTTTGTGTATGTTTATTAAATTAGAAGATGCCTTCTAGTGAAACTTAATTAAAAGTACTTTTAAAAAAAAAAAACTTTAAGCAGGTAATAAATAACTTTTCACTTATTCCACAATTCTGTGTTAAAATGTGTATTTACTGGTTTTGTGTAATATTCTAAGATAATATGTGTAACAAAGTATATGATATTCTAACCTCCTTGTATGTTTCCATTAACTGTATGGAAAAAATATCTTAATCAAGATGTATATTATTAATCTGAGCTCCTGAAATGAAAACTGTTTTAATAATATTTGCATTAATCCAGCATGATTACATTTTAGCAACATGTTGGGTATTTTCACCAAGATGCTTAAGGCAATATGAGGTACAGAGACGATGCTGAGAACTCAGGAAGGTGTCATACTGGAGCTCAGTTACATTATGCATCAGACCCAGTGGTGCTGCAGGGGCTTCAAAAGCTCTCCAAAGATCCAAACTTCTGTATATTATAAATTCCTCCCTGGATGTTAACTGGAAACTTTTCATTATGCTAAGATGTACTACAGCAGGTTTGAAATACGCAACACAAAACTCAGTTTTAAGCGGTAGGCTCTTACATTCTGTTTGAGAAAATGCTTGTGTTTATTTTTAAAAGCAGATCCTGAGATTGAACACCTCGCCCTGGTTTCTGTTGTTGCTGTTGCACCTTTAATGAACTTTAAACACTGCACAACTGATATGTGGATGGGAGCTTCATAATGGCGTTTCTATTGCTTCCTGTTTCAAACTCACCTGCTGAGTGAATACCGCGTTTTGTTCAAATTGCAGAACACATTTAAGAACCAGAGCCTTCCAGCATGAAACACAAATAGGATGCAAACACAGGCCTTATCTTAACCTCATTATTTAATGTATTCTATGCAATGAAGGCCCCATAATTGCAGGAAAATCACCATAAATTAGTATATATTAATATTTTTAATTTTAATTATGTCAGCAATTCAGTTCAAAAGTGAAACTTACATTTATATATTGTTGAAATATTACAAATTTATAGTACTTTATATTTCTTGTTTATTTATAGGTTCTCTCTGGGTACTCTGGCTTCCTGCCACAGTCCAAAAACATGACTCTTAGGTTAATTGGCTTCTCTAAATTCTCCTTAGGTGTGAGTGTGTGTGTGTGAATGGTTGTTTGTCCTGTTTGTCTCTGTGATGCCCTGCGTTGGACGGGGGACCTGTCCAGGGTGTACCCCAACTCTCACACGCAGATAACTGGAGAAAGGCACCAGCACCCCTTGCAACCCTTGTGATTAGCGTGACAGAAAATGGATGGACGGATGGGCTTATTTATGTTGATTTAGATTATTATGTTTTATAACTGATAAACACAATAAACACAGATAATTAGATTGTTCAGAAAATTAAAACACCTCCTTAGAGCAATATTAAAAGGTGTGTAATGCGGAAATGTTGTGTTTTGATCTACACAATCTTAGGCAGAAATGCTGCATTTACAGGTGTTCAGCTAACAATCATGATGCCTGCACAGCCCTTTGGCTTCTGAGTTTGTTTTAGTGCCCTACACTGTAAATAAAGTTGGAAGAAGCTGGGGATGTATGCAAGCATATCAAAGGAAAGTTTCGTGGAAGGAAAGAGTGCAGCAGACGAGGGTGTTCAAGGAAGGGGATCATTTCAGCCTCAACATGATTGTCACAAAACCTTTCAAGATTTTTAAGGAAGATTTAGAAGGAATGGAAGGGCAGGTAGAGAAGGCGCGTCAGGAGCCACCACACTGAGGTGTGTCCAGGATATGAGCTTAAACTGTCACACTCCTGAGCTAAGAGAAAGAAATGACTGGACTGTTACTCAGAGGTTCAAAGTCCTGTTTTTAAACGAAAGGGAAATGTTCTTTCTCTTGGATATAAAGGTCCTACAGTCTGAAGGAAGAGTAAAGAGATGTTGTTTGTTTGTTGTTTTATAATGAGCTGTTTAAAACCCAGCAAGAATTTTTGTTTTTGTTTTATTCTATTTGAATAAGAGCAGGTTATGAAGAATACAACACAAATTGCACAGTTTATAGATCAGGCAGGGTTTAACCAAGCCGTCATGAAGAAACGTAGATAATTTTAATTCTGGTCGGATAAAAAATCTACAAAAATTCTTTGGACTGTTTTCAAGATGAAGATGAGACACAAAAAAAAAGGAAAAAAAATGAGATAAGGGCCTCTAAAGCAACCTTTGCTTCATGTATTTCCTGCAAAACCAAAGACTGCTTTCCTCCACACCATGTAGCACTGATGCACTAATTCAAGCAAAATTAGTCCAAACCAGAGAGTTGATTATAATAATTTAACTTTATTGATCTCACATTGGAGAAACTTACTTCTGCATTTCACCCATCCCCTTGGGAAGCAGTGGGCTTCCATTGTGGGGCGCCCTGGGGAGCAGTGTGGGGTTAATGGTCTTGATTAGAGAGCCAGAGTGGCAGTCTGTGGAAGTGGGGTTAAAACTCAGAACCAATGAATCAATTTGACAGGATGATCTGGTTGAACTGTAAAGTGCCTTGAGATGACTTGTGTTGTAAATTAGCGCTATATAAATAAAATGAATTGAATACAAATACTGTACAGAACATGAACAAACTTATCCGTAGACATTGGTTTGATGTTATATTCTAATATCCTAACAAACTGGATTTAGGGTTTTCCTAATTTGGGACCAGGAATCATTAAAAGCAATAAAAGAATAAAATATATTAAAATGTATAAAGGATTCAATAAAAGAATTTCCATCAATTTGATATAATATAGTCATTTATATTATACTCAAACTTATCTCTATACACATGTAGGACTATTTACTGTAGGTTTAACATGAATTCAGTGTGGAACCCGTGGATAATCCTTAAGTATTTTGAATAACCAGATATTTCAACCTCTTTGGTTTGAAGATCAGCTCTTTTTTTCTTTTACAGGGAAATGAATGAGCTTCAAGGAAATTTGGGGGAATTTAATATGACGCTCTTATCAAACGGAAGTCCACACCCTTTGACACACACACACACACACACACTTGAGCTGTAAAACTTGTAGTTTTCCTGCTAACTTTTCAGTCGCCTGGATGAACAGCAGCAGCAGCAGCATGTTGGTGTTTCGCTCCTGGATCCTGTGCGCCGCCTGGTTCTCCTGCCTCTTCAGCTCAGCCTCCTGCAGACATGGCAGAGGTAAGACAAACGGGTCTTTAAAGGAAGAGTGTGCGCAGGTGATTTATTTGAGCGTTTCTCCAGAGCTCATTCTGGTGGAGGAGAAAGTTTCCAAGTGGAAAAAGTTGCGCGTAAAGTAGATCCGCGTTGGAGCGCTTAGAGCGGAGCCACTTCAAGAAACACTTCTTTCTACTTGGTTTAGAAGCCCCGAAACGTTCTGGTGGTTTATATACTTTGCTTAAATTAATATAGCTACTTTTAATTTGTGATCAAACGATACAATTAGAAGAATAGAAATATTTAATCCAATTTAGGCCAATAGAGACTTTATGTGTGTTCGGTGACAGCAGTTGCTTTAGTCTATTTACGTCCAGGTTCGGTCAAAGTCCAAACCGACACCCGAACGGTTCCGTCCGACTCTGCCTCTTCAGGACAGGCTCTGCATATTGGAGGTTTTTTAGTTTATTCTGGTTTCCAGATGTGTCCGCTTGTGGGTCCTGCAGGTCAGCCCATGGCGCGCAGCACAGCAGCTTTCCAAATGTCACTGCCTGCCTCTCTTATCTCCCACTGACATTCAGGGCTTAAATGCATCATTTCCCAGACAGACGGAACATTTTCAGGCTGAAGATTAGGCTCTGTCCCCCCCCGGAAGGCTGGGGATGGGAAAATGAAACAGGAACTTTTATTTATAGTATTAGAGGGGGGATATCTAATAGGCTAATATTAGGGAGAGCTGTCTGTCATTTAAAATGACAGAGAATGGGAAAGAATCTCAAAGACAGTGCAACTGAAGTTATTTCAATCATCCATCCATTCATCCAAGGAAGAAAGAAAGAAAGAAAGAAAGAAAGAAAGAAAGAAAGAAAGAAAGAAAGAAAGAAAGAAAGAAAGAAAGAAAGCTGTTTCATTTCTATTCATTTGAACAAGTTTCAAAGAATAAAAAATTGAATCATATCAAATCAGTTTAATCAAAATAAGCCAGCAATATTGTTTTTTTTACTCTTTGAATACAAAGTCTTAATCATTCCTATTTTGTCAGTAAACTTACAGATTTTATTTGTAATTTTGTTTACACCAGTGCAAAACAAAAAGAAATTTCGCAATGGAACATTGCGAATATTCAGATTGGTTCGGTCCAAAAGATGAAAATATGCATTATTATATATATTTTCCTCCTTTTTTATTTATTTATTTATTCTTTGTCTAGAAGTCTCTTGTTATTGATGCGTATTCTTGTTTTTGCACTTAATCAGTGTGTGATGTCCTGATGTTAGTTATTTGTAAAAGATTTAATGGAAGGTCTGGTTTCAGAGCTTTAAAAGACCTCTTCTCTTTAAACCTGAAGGTTGATGGAGTGATTTCCAGTCATTCTTATTTTTGCTAGAGCTCATGTAGAAAAGTTTTTGCTCATATCGTGGGCTGAGTGGATAAAAGAAGGATCATTTTTTTCTAAGAAGGTGGATTAGATTGTTAGTAACTTAATTTCTACAACAACAAAAAAACTAAAAACAACCTAATTTTCAACCAAAACCCTCAAACTCAACACTATTCCTGACATTTTTTAATTGAAAAAGCTTCTTGGATGGGAAGCAAAACGTCATTTGTTTAAAAAAATTTTTTTTTTGGAATGACAATGACCTGGATCATTGAGAATCTACACCAGCATACCTCATTTTGAGTTTAACATAAATAGAAATGTGTATTTCTTTGCTCATTCCTTAGATTTTGTTAAGTTTTCTGACAAAAAAAAAATACTGATAGTATGGTAAGTTTTAATCATTATAAATATAAAAAATAGCCTAATTAATCCAGAGCTTGGAATCAGAAGTACAAATCATTGCTTATATTCATTATTAAAGAAAAGTCTTTAAATTAGCTTTATTGCTTTCATTATTGCAGCTCTAAATGTTTCCTACGTCTTTCTGCAGAAAACATTTACAGTGTTTAATTTTGAGTTGTAATTTCCCTGCAAGCTACAACTTATTGACTCTTAACATCTGCAAACAGCTCAGACTTATCATCAGATTCCTCAGGGACTTACTGACAACATATTAAATGCTTAACAAGTTTACTGACAAAAAAAATAAAAAATTGAAACCCTGTGGGGGAATAATAAAGATTTCTGAAAGCAAATCATATTTTAATCCATCAGAAATATAAAGCCACAGGCGAATTCTGTTAAGCCTGTTTTTGTCAAATAGATTATGGAACGATGAAGGTTTTGCTAACAAGACTGTTAGCCTTTGCTGTTTGCATTTCATCTATCTGCTCTCTTGAGAGACCCGCCAACAAACCACTCCATGAGTTTGGAGCTAAGCTTCAGCGCCACTGGAGCGCGGTCCCTGTTGCTTCACTGACTGTCTCACGAAGGCGTAAACACTGGGTCTCATTAATTTGCATAGAAATTTAATTACTTGCCGTTTGAAGTGGTCTTTTTATTTATGAGCCTCGGGCCACAGACTGAAGAAAAACTTTGAAGCATCTTAATTATCCCTTGCAGTAATGCTGCAGAGTTTAGAACAATACTTCCCTGAGATTGCTACTAAAACTATTCACTCCAGAGACTAGACCTCACAACCAAATCCATGTGTAAATGATGAATGGTCTGAATCTTAGTCTCCATAAGGAATATTCCAGTCTTTACAGAGCTGCTCTATGTGGAAAAAGCCTGAAGGCATTGGACCCCTAAAAAAATTATATTCATGCCATCTTATAGTTTGTGGGTTATAGTCTGTGGAAATAGAATAATTTACAATTTGCCTGAAATGTGTGAACTTGATGTTCAACCGTTTTTTTTTTTTTTTGCCCTTTGGTTCCCTGAGTTCTGTTAATGGGTAAAGTTAGCACACAGCTTAAAGTGAACATATAAAACACCCTTAAAGGAAAAATATTTACATAATGTAATCAGCACAGGAAGGATAGACTGTATGGGACCTAACTGAGCTCACTTTCTTTGCTCCAACATCACAAATATAAAATTGAGATCCTTCTTTTAGCTAATGGATGTTTGACTTTGGGTAGGTTAAAATTAACCTGACTCCGCCAGATGGATTTGCTCCGCATCTCCATCTGGAAACCTTCCGTAGAAGTAATTTTGGGAAGGGGCGCAAATACTGGTTAGCTGATTGGCCTATGTTGGTGATAGACGGGCCAAATAAACCAATCAGATCAACGAAGCATATGACGTACTAACAGAGCGACGAAGAAGAGGAGCCAGTTGATAGATCAAACTCTTGCCGAAACCAGTCGGGAGAAGAGCAAAAACATCTTTTCCTCTGAGAAAAGCCTCCAGAGCAGTGTTTTGCTCTTCCGATTCCGATAAAAACTTGCTCAATAGCCACGCTAACGTTAGTTTCATCGGCTGAAGCCGCCATGTTCTTTAGACTGAACTGTCGCGCTTCTTGTTGCGTCACACCTCAACCCGCCTCAAAGCCAACGCTGATTGGACGTTCGTTTGGTGAACGGCTCCAAATTTTCTTCAACGGAGAGTCTCCAGACTGAAATCTTGAAAGTTCGCGAGATCAGGATGGTCTCATGAGGCTAGGTTAAAATACCCTTTAGATATACTTCACAGCAAAGTACCGATGATTAGTGGCGCCACCAGGGGGTGGCCACCCACTGGCCAGTGTAAATTGTACTACCATCAGCTAAGCATTTCGTCACATTGTGCACAGTCAGCGACGTAACAATAAAAATCCCACAATAAACCAAAATATGAGTCGAAGTTTACTTAAGTCTTTATGATTTCTGCTGGCAGGTTTACCACAATAGTAGAATAAAAAACCCTGAAATTATGGCTTTTAGTTTCAGTGTGCCACCCTAAGATTTTTAGTGGCCCCATCTGGCCACCTCTATGAAACATTTCTGGAGGCGCCATTGCCGCTGATACATAGTACATCGGACCATTTTAGACTTCATCTGTGACCTTTTCGGTACCTGGAGTCCAGATATATATTTTTGCAACTACATGAACTGTATTCACCTTGTGTTCATTGTTTTTATTGAGATTTTGGATGACTAGGACAAATAGACACAGTTCTTCTTTTTTTAATTGACAATTCCACAAAGACAAATCCTTTCACGATAAATTCTGATCATATTTTAATTTGTAGAGGGTTTTAATGGCTCAAAAAGTAGAGAAGTAAAAGTAAACATTTTATACCTCTAATGCAACAAAATAAAAGTAAAATTCTCAATTTAAAAATACAAATCCACAGAAAAATACTTAAGTACTGTAACAAGGCAAATGTACTTAGTTACCATAGACCGCTGCCCTTCTTTTAAACCATTGCTACTTAGGGTACACATGATTTTGACTGTTAATAGTTTGTAATAACAATCTGGGTCACATTTGTGTCTATAGGAACAGTATAGGGGTCTCCCTCTCTGGCCTCCAAAAGCTTAAGTCCTGGACCCTTTGACAGGAATTACCGCTAAACACACCCAAAGCAAATTAATGGCTCATTACCAGACCTTTGTCAAATCTGATGGCATTTCCAAAAGTTGATTAAATCAACAACCCTGGTGTAGGTGATCCAAAAAGATGCCCATTTGGGGGTAAATGCAAGCAGGCAGATACAATGCTCAGTGCTAATAGTTTTCTCGTTGTCATTGTCAATCATTTATCTTCAGCCACTGTTTTTGAACCTAAAGACTACCCTTTATTTTTAAGACAAATTTTCACAGCTTTAGGCTTTTCAAAAACATGTTTAGTCTCTTTTTAATGTGCAGTATTTGCATTATTCTATTTCTGAAGTATTGTCCAGTTTACTACAATGTAGAACTTTTAACTGGGAAACCGGAACTGGAAGTCTGTCAAAGCAGACATCTTTGTAATGCAACCTACCAGCAGAATAATGCAGATTATTAGCAGCATACTAAGAGGTGAGCTTATTTAAACTGTTATGGAATTTCTTACCTGCTCTGCAGTTGAAACATGAAGGCCTAACAAATTCAGACACAGACATAAAGTCTGGGCCATCAAACATCTGAATTATTACTACCTAACACAGGGATAAAAA